AAAAATTTGAGTGCGGAGGAGCGAGAGGGCCTGCAGGTGGAACTGATGCGGATGAAGGAGCAGTACTCCGCACTGATGGAGGCGGCCAACGCGTCCGTGACTGAGGTGGAAACTACTATCGACGCAACACTGCAGCACAACACACAGAGGGTGAGATGACATACAAATTTGCAATTTTATCACACTTTGCACATATTTAAAACTTATTTAAAAATCACTCAAAACTTATTGAAACATATTTAAAAGTATTCCTTAATGATCAGTCTTTCGCTGACAAAAGTGGGAGACGATCATATAACATCACGTTGAAGAAATGAAGAGACTCGCTTGTACAATTCACCAAATGAGAGCCAAGTGTGTTGTATAAAAAAAAGAAAATTGAGAATTAGTAAATTAATTGTTGTATGTTTAAACACTAATGTTCAACACCAAACCATCTAATTTTGTCCAACAAAAGTCCCACAACTTAATGCTAACATAAAAAGGAAACCTGGAAAATGAAAGCTTTGGACTGGGAAAAGTAGCACCATCTGGTCAACAAATTAAAAACAAATTGAACGCAAGTACTTTCAAGGATCATAGTTGACAATTCTAAATATTTTTGATGAATGAATATGTTCTGTATTCATTTTTAATCCCCGATTGTCTTGTTAGGCTAAAGCCTTTGAGGAGCTCCAGCAGACCCAGAACCAGATGGACTCCCTGCTGAAGGACTTAACCGCCGCTCACCCATCAGCAGCTCAAGACGTTCCCGACCTGCCTTCCTCGCACCCTGTTCGCCCTCCCAAAAAAAAAAAAAAAAAAGATATTGGGTTTTTGGGTTAATATACCAAATATGTCCACTTATGTGGTATTCTGTGACTCTTCCAGTTTCAGTTATGCAACCTGTTGATGACACGCTAAGCTCAGTGGTGACTTCTGTTTCAGAACATCCTGTTCAGTTTCCACCATTGCCAATAGCAATTGAATTGAATTGCTCATGGCAACAATTGAATGAATTTTCACTCCCTCAGCACAATATGGCTAACAGATTTTGTGAATAACATATCGCTCCATCTTGGCGATTAATGTTGGCTCTTGTGTGATGCAGGCCGAACTTCAGCGACTGCAGGCACAGCAGACCCAGCTTCTCCACATCAGCCAATCAGTTCGCGCGCTGCTGGACCAGCCCGACTCCACGGTTCCTCCTGAGGAGAAGCGACGTCTGCGAGCCACGCTTGATCAGCTGCAGTCTGAGCACCAGCAGAAGCTACACACCTGCCAGGTAGACTAGTAGCGATAGTCAATTTCTTTAAACAAAAAGGGGAAAAAAATCAATTAAAAACAGAATCTCTAATCGAAATCCATAAGCAAAGTTGAGAATCAGAATTACGTCAAATATTCCCCATCTCTATGCTAGTTAATGATGTCCTATTAACTTTTTCGGTATTGTTGTTTCCAGGAGCAACTGAGGAAGTCTGAGGCGTTGAAGGACGAGCTGACAAAGTTTCTCCAGGAGCACAGCGATCTGGGCGCTTGGCTTGAGCAGTGTGAGCAGGAGCTGAAATGTTTGGGGGAAGGCGAAACGGACGCTCAAGAACTGAAGAACCGACTGGAGGAGCACAGAAAGGTTCAATGAACACTTGTCAGCGTCTAGTGTTATTTCACGGCAATGCTCGGCCCCTCTCCCCCGTCCATAAAGTCGTGGGGTGTTTGCTGTAAAATGCATCTTGGCACAAAGTGCAACTTCTTCTACTTGCCTGCTGGTGGTGCTGTTAGCGCAGTAATTGCAACAGGGGTGGGAGCCAAAACAGATTCTTCTATCCAGTCGCGAATAAATTTGGATGTTTTCATGGTGTTCCACAGCTGGCCGAGGACATCATCTGCCACAAGGCCGACCTGCGCTTCGTTTCCATCTCCGGTCAGAAGGTTCTGGACTCCTGTCAGGCCGCCCTGGAACAGCAAGAAGGCGCGGGCGATGCTGCTGCCCTGGAGGCCACCAAGCAGCTGGTGACGGACCAGCTGCAAGAAGCAAACCACAGATATACCTCACTCCATGCCAAGGTGAGCACTTTTTGGAAAAGATGTGCTGTGATCATTACATTTAGTTTTTTAATGACGTTAACAAGATGCTTGTGGAGGCTCTCAGTCGTACAGGAAAGTTCCATCGTAGAAAGGGTTCTGTCAGTCTTTTTTGTTTTTTGTTTTTTTTTTTTTGTTTTTTTGTTTTTTGTTTTTTTTTTGTTTTTTGTTTTTTTTCTTTTTTGTTTTTTTTTTTTTTTTTTTTTTTTGTTTTTTTTTTTTGTTTTTTGTTTTTTTTTTTTTTTGTTTTTTTTTTTTGTTTTTTTGTTTTTTGTTTTTTTTTGTTTTTTGTTTTTTGTTTTTTACCCACAGGTACAGATGACGACTGACAGAACCCTTTCTACGATGACGTTAACAAGCAAAAGATGTCTATCAACTTCTTCCGATGTGTATTTCTGTGCAGTCGTCAGAGTTGGGTGGACGCCTGTCAGGACTGCTGGAGCGCTACCAGCAGTACCAGGACGAGGTGGTCTCGCTCCACTCTTGGCTCAGCGTCCAGGAGCAGAACCAAAGCATCGCCAAGCCTTGCGGATCGACCGACCCCCAAGCCCTGCAAGACACCCTGCGGCAAGTCCGGGTAAAAGCACAGTTTCCGGTTCTCTTCCCCAACTGGTCTTGCCATATGAGCTTCGAGAGCATTTTTTTCTCCTCTGTGTGTGTTCAGCTACTGCAGGATGAGATGGCCGAGCGTTCGGTTCAGTTGGAGAAGGTGAAGCGAACTGGAAGAGTTCTGGTCAGCGTGGATGAGTTTCCCTCCCTGAAGGCTGTGGACATCTTGTGTGCCGCAGGTCTGAACCACCATCAGCACCGCCGTGTTGACATTGGCAACAGAACCTCTGCTTCCATGAAATGTTCTCTCTCAATCATGTTCAGACGGTTTGGAGAAAAGGTTCTCATCTCTGACGGCATCCGTATCGGAACGGGCCAAGCAGCTCCAGACGGCCGTGGCCCAGTCGGTGAGTGTGCAGGAGGGCTTGAAGGCTCTGCTGGCCTGGCTCGACACCCTGGATCTGGACCCCGCACCCGTGGAGCCAACGGTGCAGGCGCTGCAGGACGCCCTGACTCAGAATCAGGTAGGACAACAGGAACTCCTTTGTGTTAGGAAGTCTTAATAACATTCACGGTTCTGCGAGGAACTTAAAACAGCTGTTTTGACCAATTACACAAAAATATCCCTCCCCAGAAACTTCGTCAGGAGCTCGTATCGCGGCAGGGCAGTGTGGAGGCCACGCAGGACTCTGTCTCAAAGTTGCTCCAAAGCCCCGATACCCCCATGGCATCGGGCTTGCAGGGGTCGCTGGACGAACTTCGGCAAAGGTTCGCCGCCGGCCAGGTCAGCCAAGCAGAGCGGGAAGCAGAGCTTAAAAGGTTGTTGCCACGGATGGAGAACTATGAACGACTAGCAGGCGACCTGCGGGCCTTCATCCAGAGTCGTGCCAAAGCTCTGAGCCCGGCGGGGCAGCCTGATCGCTGCGTGAATGACTACCGGCAGAATGTGGAGGTCAGCATTTCAGCAAAGCATATCATTTCATCTCAAGAAAATCAGAAAAACTGTCAAAATCATCCTGAAAGTCTGTTTGAAATAATTGATAAGATCGATGGATCACCCAGCCCTGTTTTGAACTTGCTTTGTGGATCTTTTTGACAGGAAGTGAAGTCGGAGCTGCAACAGGAAGCGCCTCAGCTGAAGTCTTTCTGCAGCCTGACAGAAGAGGTCAGCACATCACAAGTTTTGGGTCACACACAAAGCCTCCTAGAACACGTCAAAGGCATGTCGGATGACTTCAAGCAATTGGAGGACGATGTCAACCAAAGGTGAGAAAAGACAACAAGGGAGCCATATTTGATTTTTGGGGGGTGATTTTTGTAAATCCCGCCTTTTGTTTATTACCAACAATGATGAATAGTCACTGTGACCTGCTTTTCTGTCAGCATCAATTTTATTTATGTATTTATGTAAAGCTTTTCTTAATATTACCCCCTACCAATTGGAATTTCAATGGAATGATTTGGAATTTAAATGCAATGCACCCAAATTGGCAGTCTTGTACTAAAATGGATGTCGACGAAAAGCTAAAATGATGAGAAGTGGTAACTTCTCTGTCCACCTTCCAATTCTTTCCCCTGCCCTGCGTAGACTGGCGGCCATTTTGGCTTGCGAGCAGCAGCTGCTCCACTTCCGTGGACTCTCTGGCTCCCTCCTCAGATGGCTTCAGGCGGCGCAGGAGCAGCTGCCCACCAAGGAGGTCGCCCTGGACACTGAGGCGCTGCAGAGGCGAGTGCAGCAGCTGCAGGTGGGTCCGCCAACACTCCACGTGATCTCATGCTTCCTCCAGAGACTCCACTATAATCCGGTGGTGGTGGTGATGATGATGATGATGATGATGATGCCGCCTTTAGGAGCTGTTGAAGGAGTGGGAGTCACAGGCGTCCAGGGTGCAGGAATTGAACAAGAGCAGCTCCGAACTGGAGGCGCAAGTCATTGACATCACAGCCCCACAGAACAAATCGGGTAAAAGCAGCTCCTCGATTCTCTTAACTGAACTATAAAGTATATCACAACCTTTTTTCCCAGTCAATGCAGTTGTCAGAAACTGCTTTTACAAATTACATTTTATCTCAGGGATTCTAAGGCCTTAATAGTCTAAAGTAGTTGTGGGCTTTTTTTTTGTTCAGTTTTTTTTAATTGTGTGTTTCACAGGTGCTCCCCAAATCAATGGCTCTGCTCCCGGGAGCGTCAACGGCATTCATACTTGTAAAGGTTGGAATGGCCAAATACATCTGCTTGCATGTTGCATCACCCACACTATTAAGCGCAATTTCTCATCCATGAACGCATCCTTTTTCGTGTTCCTGTCCCGTCAGACTTGACGGAGATCCAAGTGGCCGTGTCTGACGTCAACACCCGACACGAGGCCCTGGGCGTCGACTTGAAGGAGCGCCTGGGCCGCCAGCAGTCCTCGTTGGAGCAGAGGCAGCAGGCCAGGCGTGGTGCCGAGGAGCTGCAAAGCTGGCTGAAAGACAAAGAGAAGAACCTCGCGCAGGGACATGCAGCCTCGCCGTCCAAGCCGGAAGTGGTGCGTGCCCAGGCCCAGGAGAACAAGGTCATTAATGATTTTCATGTCCGTATGTAGATTGCATTACAAGGCTACGTTTGAGATTTTCCTGCGCTCTGTGAAAATATGCAATAGAGACTGTTTACATCAGACAGGATTTTTATTCGTAGCCAAAATTAACTCAAACCATATAATTTAATCTCACAAAAGTGCACTAGCTTAATGGTAACCTAAAATGGGAAATCCACAGGCTAAGAGGAATTAGTATATATGTTGTTGTCAAATGGCAGATAAGCAAAACCTCATGTTAAATCTAGTACTAATAAAGACGTAACATTGAATGATGGCCAGGCACTGATGTCGGAGTTGGCTGAGCAAGCCGCCAGGGTAGAGGAGCTGAAGGGAACCCTGAGGAAGCTCATCGCCGAAAACCCCGACTCCCCCGAGGCAGACACATGGAGGCAACAGTTGCAGGAAATCGGTATGTGCTACCAAATACGACCGGGAGCCAAGATGTGCGAGTCATCACCACACTTGACAAATTACTTTTTAAGTTGTCATTGGTTTTGAAGAAGAGCAAGAAACCATTTTCGGATGCACTTAAGTCATCTCTCCCATTGTCCGCCTCCCCTTAGACTCCCGTTGGCTCTCTGCAAATCAGACGGCGTCGCGGCGTCAGGCGGAGCTGGAGGCATGTGCCGACCGGCTGGGCAGCTTTGCCGCGGCAGCGTCTCAGCTCGGCCCCTGGCTGCGTGAGAAGGAGTTAATGATGAGTGTGCTTGGCCCGCTCAGCATCGACCCGAACATGCTAAACACGCAGAAGCAACAAGTACAGGTTTGTGTTCGCACACACATGCAGACACATTTGGTGTCAAGGAACTAGGTTGAAGTGATGCATCTCAATGCAAAGATGGGCAAATGCCATGCAAGGAATGAGCATTGAGGGCTTTGCTGAACCGAACTGTCCTTACACTTTGAGAATCACTGACGAACGTCAATTTTTTCTAGTTCATGCTGCGGGAGTTTGAGACCCGTCGACCGCAGTTCGACCAACTCACCCAGTCGGCCGAGGGTATCCTCTTGCAGACACGGGACCCCAAAGAGCTGGAGGATGTCCGGGCTCAGCTGGAGGAGGTTTCCCAGCAGTGGCGTGACCTGATGGGCAAGCTGGACCAGCGTTCGGAGCACATCAACCAGGCACAGGGCACCAGCGAGCGCTACCACGCGATCCTGCGCGAGCTGTCGGCCAGCACAGCGGCGCTTGCCGAGCGTCTGGACGGCCAGGCGGAACTGAGCGCCCGACCCGAGGCCCTCAGGCAGCGCCTCCAGGAGACGGGCGAGATCCGCTCTGAGCTGGAGAGGCGCCGAGGCGAGCTGGCCGAGGCCGAGCAGCTGTGCCAGGAGCTGAGCGCCATCGTGGCTGAGCCTTACCTGAAAGATGAGCTGAAGAAGAGGCTGGAAAACGTCAGCGTCCCGCTCAAGAGTTTGGAGGAACGTGCAGGTGTGGACAATGGCCTGAGAAATTCACCATCATGCCTTTTCCTACATTAATCAAATAAATATTTAATAGTTATAGCTCTACTTAGCATCCTGGTCAGCAAACAATAGCACATTTAACTCATTCAGTACCAGCCAATTCTAGACCAAGTCTGAAAAGACGTTTAAAAACGTCTTTGGGAGTGAATGAGTTTTAAATATGTTTGACTTTTTGTCTTCTCCCCAGCGGACGGTCTGTCTCAGCTGCAGGCTGCGTTGTCCTCCACGCAGCAGTTCCAGCAGATGTTTGAGGACGTGCGCTCGTGGCTTGACCAGCAGACGGAGCTTCGGGACTCGTCGCTGGACGCGCTGCCCTGCCGTCCCGAGGCAGTCCGTTCGCTGCTGTCATCTGTTGCCGACCTCCAGCGCTCTGTCGCCGCCCAACGGGGCTCCTATGAATTGATCCAGGCAGAGGGCGCATCGCTGCTGGCCGCGCTCCCCACCGATGGGGACGAGCGCACTGCCCTGCAGTCCCGCCTCACCTGCTTGCGGCAGGACTGGGAGGATGTCAACGGGAGGGTCTCGGAGCGGGAAAACAGACTGAAAAGCACCCTGAGCATGGCGGAAAGCTACCAGCAGCACAAGGCTGAATTTGCGCCCTGGCTGGATCAATGCGAGGAGAAAGACGCGGAAATCCAGCCGTCGCTCGACCCTGTGTGTCTGGATGAGGCCCTACAGAAGGTCAAGGGGCTCGCCTTTGACCTGGAGAGACGACATACGCTGCTGGAGGCCTTCAATACAGCAGCGGATCAGCTGCTGGAGCAGTGCTGTATCGGAGAGGACGAGGTACTTCGTGTCTCATGACCTAATACAGGGACCTTTCCCAATGAGTCAGCTCAATGTTGTTTTTATAGTTACTGAAGGCATTTTACAAATTTAACTGGTAAAGAACAAAAGTCCTCGGCACGGGTTTGAGAAGCTTACTGTCCGTCACACTGTTCAATGGCTTCAAATGTAAGATTATGCCGCTCGCTAACCTTAAGGTCCGAGACGAGAAGGCGCAGCTTAACCGGCGTATGGACGCCCTGGGTGAGCGTCTCCTCGGTAGCACGTCGCAGCTGGAGGAGCTCTCGGGCCGCCTCAAGGAGTTTGAGGAAGGTCGGCAGGCGGTGGAGAGACGCCTGGAGGCCGCCAAGCACCAGATCGAAGTCCAAGAGGCGCTTGGACCTCAGGTACTTTAAGATATTGATTGCCAATAATTGTTTTGTGGTGCTGATTGACAATTCATTAAGCATATATAATTTGTCTTTGTTGGGCTATGCCAGTTACATGTACTGACTGGCAGAACAATTAAGTGCTTTTTCACCAGTGACTTTTTTAATCTCTTACAAAAACCTCCTGATGTCGTCATTTCAGGCTTGTAGCGCTAAGAGCTTGGAGAGGCTGAGGAGCCAGCAGGAAAACCTAGCATGCCTGCAGCCTCAGGTGGTCTACCTGCGCGACCTGGCACAAGGACTGGTGCAGGATGCCCCCCAGAGGCCAGAGGGCAGCGCTGAGGGCGCGCAGAGGTTGCAGGAGCAGGCGAAACACACCCAGAACGAGTTTGATGACGTCAGCAGCAAGGTGAGAAGAAATGTTTAGTGCAACCGCGTTTATCGTCGGGAATGCGTGCCAGACCCACACGCCATAGATGAAAACACACAATATCGGGAGTTCACTTGAAGGAAACAAAAGGAGACTCTTGTTTGCACAGTTCGACATGAATCCAAGCATGCTTGCTTCAAGCTTTTTTGTCACCGTCATCTGAAATGCACTGTAAAACAGACAAATATTGTGCATTTTAGCAACAAAATGTTCAAACGTTAAATTTCGTCAAATGAAACAATGCTAACATATGCAAACACGACAGACTGGCTAACGAAGCTAATCTTGATGTTGCATTAGTTAGAACCCTTTATGTCTTCAAGAACACACACGGAGCAGCAGCACATACAAACAGAAAATGCTGCTAAATTCTCACACTCTCACAAGAGCAAAACATAGTAATACACTGACAGCACCCAACTCTGAATTTAGACTTGCTTGTACATTACACTGTAAAAATCTAAAAGTCTGCGATACAGTGGTGTAAATGACAACCATAATTTCGCAGAAATTCTGTGCATATTTCAAAATTACGATAATGTAAATATTAGCATAGCATTCTAGTTGAATGAGTAGTACAGCACAGCTGAGCTAAACAGTTTAGAAGTGCGTGCGTGTCTTAAATCATGCTGAAAGAAAACAGAGCTACTGAAGCAGTTTGGCTTTTTGACTTCCTGCACCCGTATATGGCCAGTGTGGATCTTTGACACACGTGAAATGTAAACCGATTGGCAGCAGCCATCCTGCTGTATTTACATCTCAACAGCCGCTTCATTCGGCACACAGGCACACGCTCAGATTTTATGCAAATACAGGATCTAGTATACCTAGTGAGGACAATGCGGTTTAACAGACTGTTTAGTTTCATGAAATTACCTTGTAAAATACATATTTACAAAATTAAGAATAGTGAAAAACAAACTTAAGAAATGAACGGCAAAGCGACAAGATTTTAAATGGGAGTGCATTGCAGGATATACATTTACAAAAGTGAAAACTAATTTGCAGAACTGGCAAATGACTAAGTATGGAAAAAAAATTAACCTTTAAAACACAAATTTATGAAAGTTTTATAAAATTGAAAATGCAAAATGGGAAACAGTATTCAACGATAAAGTACCCATTGAAAACATATGACAGGGTAAATGTTTTTTGTTTTTTTTTGTAGCTCTGAAGGAGAATACTGTACATGTACAAATGGATCCACGAAGCACAACAATCTCTGAAGTGAATTTGTCCTCCTCTCCCTCCATCAGCTGGAGCAGTGTTGCTCCACGCTGGAATCGCGTCTGCACGGCGTGGGCGAGGTCCAGTCCCACGTGCGCGATGTCTTCTCACGGCTGGCCGACCTGGACGACGAGTTGGACTCGCTGGGCCCCGTTGGACGAGACGCTGACTCCCTGGCCTCGCAGGCGGACATGCTGGGGGGCTTCCTGTCGCGTCTGGCGGCCCTCCGCACGGAGCTGGAGACGCACGCCGCCGAGTGCACGGCCATGTTGCGTCGCGAGGGTTCCTCGCCCGACCTGCTGGCTCTCAGGCGTGAGACAGAAGCGCTTGGTCGGCAGGCTGGAAAGGTGAGAGGAAGGGGTGGGGGTGTGGGGGGCATCTTTTTTTTTTATTCATAAAAATGGCAACAAAAAAGATTTTAAGATCAAAAATACAGATTTTAATGAATTGCAAAACTATTTTCTTCCCAACATTAATAAATTTACAAATGATAACCCAAAAATAAAATGTAAAAGAAAAAAATTGCAAACTTCAATTTCAAAATTATAATTGACGATATATTTTTTTGCTCAATAAAAAATTTACAAATGACAAATTTAAATGAATTATAAAATAGTCAAATAAAACAGAGATTATTTGAATAAAAATATTTTCACAAAATTAAAAATGATAATTAAAAAAAATAAATGTCCACCATTAACTCATTCAGTACCAGCCAATTTGAGACCCTTTTTTTTTTTTTTTTTTACACTAAGTCTTGGAAAAATTGAAAAAAAATAAGTATCTGGGGTTGAACGTGTGGAGTGTGATAAGACTTATAAATATGTCTTTAGGAGTGAATGAGTTAAATAAAATTGTATTTAACAAAATTGGAAAAAAAATTATCACATCAAAAACAAAACTTGCCAACGCATTTCCTATATAAAAACAAAGTTGTGCTGTCAATGGAAGTAAAGTCGAAAGAAAAAAATTCAAGAGATGGAAAAAAAATGCGCATATGGAATGGGACAGTAAAATAAACAAACATTTACAATCAAATCAACACATTAAAATGACAAGTGCCATGTGGGTTGCAGCTGAGTGAACGGGGCCAAGCGCATCTGGTGCAGATCCAGGACGCCTCCGAGCGAGTGGGCGACTTCTACCGGCTGGTAGACGAACTGCAAGGCCTGCTGGGAGCCGCCGAGGAGGGTCTGAACACGCAGGCCCCGGTGGGCTCCGAGGTGGACGTCATCAAGCAGCAGCTCCTCGACTTCAAGGTCAGACCTGCTTCATTTCTCTTCGCTGCTTCTGCTGTTCGTTTTGCATTTGTCACTTCCCACACAAGACTCACCCCCACTTCTCCTGCCCGCCTAAAAATACAAGCGCCATTGGAAAAATGCCATTTTTGCGCTTATGAATCCGCCTCCCACTGTTTTGATCTCTTGTCGCCGTTTAACTTTGTTTCCCAAAAGCAAAATGACTTTTTTGGAATCTTTGTCACCATTGTGGAGGCTTCTGCATGCCCGAATACTTGCAAAGTTATGTATACAGTATTGGTTGTCTCCAACAAGAGCTCCCCAAAGCAAACTCAGTAGCGCACCGTAGAAAGCATACAAAATAAAAAGGAGCCCCTTGCTCCGGTTTGCCCAATCGGCATGAAATTGGGTATTCCCCAAAATTCATAACAGGACATAGCAAAAAATTTCAAGAAGCCATGCCCAAAATTGAACAGGAAATCAGCTGTTTTTGGTTTGGAGCATTTTGTGTGAATTCCATAACCCGTATGTTGGCATATGCAACATTTGGGACAATTTAACATCTGTCTCGGATACCCGGTTCCAACTGGCCGAATTTCTTGATAGGAATTTTTCAGTTATCTCTTTGGAATTTGCCCATGCGTCCTTTTATAATTAACATATCCGCTCAATATTGTCTCGCTTACCGAACCTGGTGCTCAGGCTGGGTGGGTGGGGCATTGATATATTCAAACTTTCCAACTGAGATTGTCATGTGACACGAATAACTCATTGCTGCGTTGTTGATTGGACCATTTCAATCTTGACCATCTTGTGTCCTTGTGCTGCACTTGAAAATATGGAGCCGACCACAGGAATGTGCTTTACAGGCGCCACTCTTGGCCTTTTTTTTATGACACTTTTTTTCACAGGCATGCATGCTGCCCTCTCGGTTGCCAGGCCATCACTAAAAAGATCATTTTATGGCTGTGATGTCACTTCCTGTGTTTGTGGGCCCAGGAGACATTATGATGGTGTCTGTGGGTCATTTTCTGAGGTGATGGATGGCTCATGTGAAAAGGCATTCGAAACATTCCGGCGTGCATTTCTTTCTCCCCCGGCCAGTGGAAAAAAAAAAAGAAAGAAAGAAAGCAAGCGCCCCCGCTGCTGCGAGCTCGTGTGGGAGGACGGAATAGCGCTGGCCTCAGTTTTCAGAATCCCATCTTTTCTCCTCATTCTTCAGCTATGTCAAAGCCCCTCAATCATCAGACATAATTGTTTGGTATTGAACAGAGTGCAATCGGTAGAGTGTTGTGATTGATGGCAAGTTGTCTGATTCGAGCCAGAAGTGGCAGACTTCCTGTCATTCCAGGCATGGTTTCTTGATGCATTTTTGTGGGTCTACTGATGATAGCATGCCTACCAAATTTCATGTTGCTTAGTGAAACTGGAATCGGCGGGGGGGGGCTCCTCATGGGAGGGACATTTATAGTCAAGTTGATGTGGGGATGTAGTTAAGGATAGCAGCCCAGAGATCTCATTATGCTGCCGATATGTGGGGCAAAGTGTGCTAAAACTTTTAAAGCACTATTAAACCCCTCCCTTGTCACTCCCCATGTGCATGTAAGCGATCCCCCTCCATTCCAAAATCTGTCTGGCCTCCCCTCCCCCGATGGACCCTTTTCCAATCCACAGCCATGATGTCATACAACCTCAACGGAATGGGTGGGGCGCAAAGAGAGAGAGAGAGGGGGGCGGGGGGGGGGTCAGCTTCATTATTGGGGGCAAGGTTCATGGTGGGCGTGAGGTGTGCTTGTTTCCCACCAGACTTTAATTTAAACATGGCCGCCGGATGCTTCTGATTCCTTGCCGTCTTTTTCCGGACAGTGCAGGAATCTCAGCTGTCCATATATTTATACGCACACACAAACACACACACTTGCACATTTAGGGTGCGGCAACAGCCAGCCCGCCCCCAACTCGTGCAGCTGACGCACGCACGCACACACACACACACACACACACACACACACACACACACACACACACACACACACACACAGTGTCTTTTAGATAATGGGTGTAAGCGCTGAGTTAAAGTGGGTCATATGAATTGTCCCGTCGGCCCGCAAAGGAAACTTCTTTTGAGGTTCCCAGTACACAAGACAAAAATTCCAAATTAAGATTTGCCTGCTTGGACAAGTGTGGGTCTGAAGATTTTGAGTGCTAACGCTAACCTGGGTAGCCGAGTTAACAATCAACCTCTCGACTATGACGACCGTTGTGTGTGTGTGTGAGAGAGAGAGAGCGAGAGAGAGAGAGTGTGTGTGTGTGTGTGTGTGTGCGTGTGCGTGTGCGTGTGTAAGGAGGCTGATGTCCACTTGACTCACATCATTTCTGTAAACTTGATTTGCCTGACTGAACTTTTCCTGTAACACATGACTCTGGCTCTTTCTCTCTCTCACCCACTCACCCACTCACTCACGTCTCTCCAAATGAAGAAAAATGTTAGCTTTTCGTGTTCTATGATTCAGTGGTATATTTCAGAAATGGTGTGTGTGCGTGTGCTCCACTTCCATGTTGTGTGTTGCCTGATCTGTTGTGAATTACCTTAGTATGCCAAGCCTCGGGCTCGCCTACTCAGTTTTATTTATTTTGTTTCATTCGAGATGATATTTCATATCTTCTTTTGTCTCGGAAGAGGTCAACTATTAGGAGTGTCCGCGTAGTGTCTCATAATTACACACACGCACACACACTTCTTTTGTTCGGTCTGTGTGTGTTTTAAGTGTGTCTGCGCATTTACCGCCAAAGCACATGCGAACTCTCAAGTGTTTACGACGTGGAAAGTCCTTGCCGCGTTATTCACATGCGCGTATCAAACTTGGTGTGTGTTACGTCCGCATGCGTGGGTAGGGACATACTGCCTGTAAAGTTGTGTGTCCGTGAGGAATCGGGCTGCTGGGTTAATGTTTAAATGAAGGCAAAGAAGTGGGTGACTCAGGAGGAGGGTGACTGTAGTTGAAAAAGAGCTTAAGTAAACATATGTGAACAACAAAAAGAATAGTCAGCAGCATTTGAATGTTTTGTGGCCGCCCATGTACAGGATAAATAAATTGCATCTATGTTAGTATGTCATTGTTGTGTTATGAAAAAAAAATCAACAAATAAAATCAGTTTTTTGCAGGTTAAATACGATAACTAAAAATAATACTTACACCAAAAAACACAACTATTCTGTTGCTACAGAGCAGATAGAATAGTTGTGTGCTCTGTTTGTATGCGTTGCTGCTCCATGTGTGTGAAAGTAGCAGGTTTAATGTATAGTTGTGTGCTCTGTTTGTATGCGTTGCTGCTCCATGTGTGTGAAAGTAGCAGGTTTAATGTTCGTGATCACTGCAACATCTTTGCTAATTTCCGTTAGCTCGTCTTTAGTGTTTCGCGCAATATGTTAGCATCAAGCTAATGGGCCGAAATATAAATTGGCTTAACATTTTGGTGTTTCTTTGTTTCTTTGTTGATTTATGTGTCACTTTTACAATTCAGCTTGGATGAAAAAGGAAGTGAACCTCCTATTTGATGGTTGGTAACGTGCTCCTGTTGAAGTAGAGCAGTCAAGGCTAGCCTGCTCTTCTTGGTGTGCAGTTAGTTAGCTTCCTCGGACTAAGAGCTGTCCTGATAATGATGATGGAGGAAAGGAGATAATGAATGGGAAGCCTTTGCCTAATCACATTTACCCTTGAGCACATCACTGAGGGTCAAACGGTCACACTTGTCAATAACGGCGATAAGGGAGGAGGCGCGACATTGTGTTATTTAAATGAGTTGAATCCTTTTATAGCCTCCATTTTCTTTTTAGCGCCTCGACTTATGCGAGCAACAGAAGGAGCAAAGCCTTTTTAGAATTGCTTTGCTCCTTTAGGGTCCGTTATTCATCGACGAAAGAAATCAACATTTGGAAGCTTTTCTCACACACTAAAAGCCATGAAGACAGTTTCCTCTCATGACATTTGGTAAGCATGTCTATCATATGGAGATTCACAGAAAAGTATCAAGAAGCCATGTTGAGAAAGGATAGGAGGTCTGCGATGTTGGTTCAAAGTGGCTGTTTTAGGGTCATTTCCAGGTATTTCTGCCGCGAATATAGTTTCACTTAGCAACATAAAATATGGTAGGCATGTCTACTATGAGTGACCCACAAAAAAAAGAGAAAAAAATTCTCAAGATTCCATTCCTGAAAAGACACTGGAAATCCACCATTTTGGGAATAGTTTTTTTTTTTTTTTTTTTTTTTAATCCCGTACGTGTTGGTGGAGCCTGGCAGCAAAGCTAAATAACTCCCCATCAATCTTGAAACTCTAATAACGCAACTCCATAAGGTCAGGAGCTTGAGCAAATGTCGTGTGGTGGTGATGGTGGCGCCTTTAAAGATTTGTAGGTGCCCTCTACAGTAAGATCACCACTCCTAATGTTCCTTCACAGTCTATATTGGAGCCCTTTGTCGGACTTTCTCTTATTTTCACCTCACTTTTCCTCCATGCAAATAAGTCTTCATAATGGTGAAGGGAGGGTTGGGGGGGGGGCACAGCTGATCACGTGAGATATTGTGCATTTTGTGGGTGTGCGCAACAAAGCAGGGAAAAACCGCTTTTGTTTCCACCGAGCCATTTGCCTGAGACACAGCAGTGACAGCTGCAGCGCAACTGACTGTGTGTGTGTGTGTGTGTGTGTGTGTTGGCGGTTGCAAAGAAAGACAGGAGTATTTAGCACATTTGACATGCAGGCCACGGGTGCGACAGTCGAGTGAGGCTTCGATACTAGTGTGCATTGTTGAGGGTCTGAGGAAGACCAGCACAACTTTGCGGATGCTTTGATTCAAGGGGAAGGGATGAGTAGAGTAGCCACAAATTGTACTCAAGAGTCATGTTGATATTGAATGACTATATTATTATATGATATTGAATGAATATACCTCAACTAAAAGTAATTAGTCCTCCAAATAAGATACTTCAGATCAGTATTCAGTTGAAAGAAAGTACTCA